CACCAACAGCGACGCCACAACGAGCCGCGACCACCACGTCCCGAGGGAAACCAGGAGGGACGACCAGCGGCGAAAAGCACTCCGTCTTCAGGGCCTCTAAGAGGCCCTGTCGGGACGAAAGAACAGAGCACAGATGGCACCTGAAACGGGACCCGACTGGAATAAATCTGTGAGAGCTGGCCCTGGCCGCGTGCTCGAGGCGTCGGGTCTCGGCGGTCTTCGGCCTAGGCCGCTCGATCTCCGTCGGGGCCTTGGCGCGCTTGGGGTCCGCCGAAGAGGCGTCCGCCAAAGCCCGCCGAGCTCTTCGACGCACCAGGGCAGCGGTGAGGTCCCAGGCGTCTGTGGCGGGGACAACCTGGGCGGCCAAAGTCCAGGATCGTTCAGCGGCTTCAGAAGCCGCTTCGTCGGCTAACTGATTACCACTGGCAAGAAAAACTTCGTGATGGGAGAGAGAGGAGTCGTCAGGGGACAGGTGCGAGGGCGTCCATTCGACCGAGACGTGCCCTGGGCCTCGGTCGTCGATGGCGCAGCGAATTCGCAGCCACAAATCGCTGTTCCTCCCCCCCAAGCTCCAAGGTCGGCCCCGACTCCACCCCGTCATGAGAGGCTTGTGGTCCGTCACAAAATGGACAGGACCAGTAGTGCTTTCCAGAAAAAGAGCGAAAGCCTGTAGCTCCGACCTGGGCACCGTTTGCGAGGGGCCTCGCAAAATCTCGGAGATGCCCCCCAAGACGGCCCAACGCAAAGGTCCCTCCCCAGGTCTCGCGTCCCTGACCACAACTACAGCGGAGCCACAACGACGGCGACGAGGGTCGGACGAAAAACGTCCTCCAGATCCGTCCCCGAAGCCGACCAACGGGCTGCTGCCAGGGTCTCTAGAGCAGGCTCCAAGAGGGACCTCACCAAGTTGGGCTCTGCTTAGGCTCTCCAACGGCTCCCTGAAAACAGGGTGGGTGACACGGGTAGGCGGAACACCTCTCAGCCAAAGGCTTGGTTCAGATTCAACAGACGCTAACGCTTGCGGAATCAAATGATCAGTAGACGTGAAATCACTGTGATCTTTATTGCAGGGGCAATGCCAGATGCGATGCGCAAGAGTTTCTTCCTCCTGCTGGCATCGCGGACACAGGCGGTCAGCGACCTCACTCAGCGGGTGCTGCCTGTCCATCGTCCACTGGGCGCCCGTGACCACGCACAAGTTGAGGCCGAACAGGTCGAGCTCCCCCTTCTTGGCGAAGTGGCTGAGCTCCAGCCTGGCCCAATAGAGGTCCGCTCCCTCAGCCAGGCCATCACCTGCCATGTGCTTCGACGCATTACTCCAAAGCTGAGCGCGAAAATCAGTGACCACGTCGTCCAGCAGCTCGGAGATGTCGAACCCAGTGGGGTCGTAGCCTGCACGTCGTGCTGTTGGGATCAGCCACTCCTCGATTCCTCCGACAGTGGGCCTCCTCCAACGTAGAACTGAGGGTACTTCCCATCCCGCGTCTAGCAAAGTCGCAATAACAGCTCCAATCGGTCCTTTGACCAGTCTCCATCTTTTGTTGGCGCCAACTGCGAGAAGCCGCCGATGAATAACAGTCCAAGCATTTTCAACTCGATGGTGAATGCTGGTGTCGGTCTTCCAGAGACAGAGAAATTCTGAAAGAAGGCCTCGTCGTAACTCCAGGGCTGGATCCTTGAGACCGTAAAGGACCGCCAGTGTTGTCGTAAGACACCTGCCCTTCATGGGCCCAGCTCCAGCCAAGGCTGCCTGCCGCCTGACGGCGAGGACGTTGGACGGTGACATGCCATGGGCCTGGTGCCCGTAGGAGCCTTGAGGAGCTGCGCCTGTGGTCCAAAGACCCTGAGCTTCACGCCGTAGAGGAGCATGTCTGCGTATGCGGGCAATGCGAGCCGCCCTCTTCCTGCTGGCAACCAACCTCATTCTGGCCTTAGCGACTGTGCGCCGTTTGCCAGAGGCTGCGTCGATGCCGAGATCCGTGCCGTGAAGGCCGAACCGTACAGGGATACCCCGCTTCTGCAATTGAGCGGCTGTCCTCCTCCCGTCCTGCGGAACGGTGGCAATGAGCACAAACTTGTCCGAAAGCTTGAGACGGAATTGCTTGGCGAGGTCGGCCAGCGTGACCGTAGCGTGAAGGATCTCTGTCTGGACCTTGGCCTGCGTGCCCTCTGCGCGGGCCACAGTGTCATCGATGAAGGTCCAGAAGGTGCTGAAACTCGCTCTGCGATGTGCCGCCTCCATCAATGGATGTAAAAACAACTTGGCAATCCTTACCCCATGCGGGGATCCTGCAACAAGTGACCTGGTGGCGTAGATGGCGTCTGTAACGCCAAGAGAGCCACGCAGGAACCGCGGCCCAGCGCACATCTCCAACTCCAGTAACACCACAATCGCTGGGAACTTGAGGTCGAGTGCAGCCTGGCCGATGAGGATCCAGGACAACGAGTCGTAGAACTTCTCGAAGTCCAAGAGGAGGGTCGCCGCCGAGATGCCAAGCGCCACTGCGGATTCATCGAGCAGCGCTCGCAAGAGTCCTGCTCGAAGCGAGCTGCTGCCCGCCACTGCAGTGTCCCAGAAATCAGAGAGCTCCTTAGTCCATGTGGACGTGACGCCTGCTCTCACGCGGGACCATATCTTTGCCGTCTCTGGAAGTAATCCAATGACCCTCTCTCCTCCTTTGGGTTTGGGTAATAATGCTCCAATAGATGCCAAGGTCTGAGCGGGCCACACTCCATGTTCTTCAATACTGTTGAGAAGCCTGCAGTAATCACACCGACCTTCGAGTGGGAGTCGCTGGATGTCCAGCGGTGTGATGGAGTCCACTCCGCATGCCTTGGTGCCTAAGACCCTGATAACTTTGTCCACCTGCTCGATGCTGACTGGATCCAGCTCCTCCTCGCGGCTCTGCGCGTGCAGGCGCTTGAACATGGCGAGGATGTCGGCCTGAGAGTCGACTGGGTCGTGCCAGAGTCTCTCCCAGGTGGATCTGGTATGTTCCATCCTGATAGTTGGGTCTCCAACGACTCGCCCATCCACTAAGGGGTCGGACGAGACCGCCTTGGGTTCCTTCACCAATGAGTGGAGCAGTCCTGGCTTAGACGTCCAAACTCCCTTGGCCCAACGGATGAACGAATGCCGCCTCAAGGTCAAACATCTTGCCTGAGAACGACAGGCCAGCTTCTCAGTTAAGTAAGCAAAATCATCGCGCTCCATCTCAGTGGCGCAAGCAAATGCGCGCGACCAGGAGATCCACCGCTGCTGATTAGCGGTGCCCTCAGAGCCTGGACCGAAGAAATCCGATGGGTCGAAGCTGCTGGCGTCGTTGGTGTAGCGACCAAGAGCTGCGGTACAAATCGCTATCTGGCGAGGATCCTTGCCATGTCGTAGAAGAGCCATGATTCTTTGCACCAAGGTGAGCACAGTTCCCCACCATTCTCCAGCTCCATCCGTCATGTGCACTCGCCCTGGGGTAGCTCTGGTCTGCATCCATTGTAAAGAAAACCCAGCTGCGCGTGGGGCCCGTTGTCGAAGGTCGAGTTGATGATGAAGTGCGAAAGCACGTTCCACTCCTGAGGACCACCGCGCGTACTGTCTGGTGACGGCACCAAGGCCAAGTGCGTTAATATGGCCCAACAACTCAGACTCGACAACACTGCAACATTGAGAGCTGAGCCTCTCCATGGAGGGCTGCTCTTCCCACAGGTCTGAAGGAATGTGAAAAGAGACCTGGGACCCAGGATCCAACGTGCTCCTTGAGGGGTGTAGTGCATCGTAGTCTTCCAGCAGATCGGGTGGTACGCGTGCCCGTTCTTGCTCTTGCCGTTGGGCTCGAAGTATGGACCTCCTGCTGCTAGGGTCCGAAGCGAGCTTGGGTCTGGCTACCTTAGGAAACGGTTCAGGTAACAAAAGTTTCTGGTACCACCATCTGCGCATGCCATCGTGGACGTCAACCTGCAGTGCACAATGCGTCTTCCACGGGACCTGGGGCTGCGACCGAACTCGGTATCTGGATGATGTTCCGTACTTGGCCATTGCGAAATCAATGAGGGAGCCCTCCTGCCCTTTATCGCACGTGGTGCTGACGTCCGCAGGTAGAATGAGTGTGCCCCCAATTTTATCAGGCCACCCAGATCCTTCCAATGAAGTTGGTGAGATATTCCAGTCGCCAATAACCAACCAAGGGTCTGCAAGCCCATGAAGGAAGGAAGCTAACGCAACCAGCACCTGACGATTTCTGCCAGAAACTCCCAATCCTGGCCACAGATAAACTGATACCAGGACCAGGTTGCCGGAGGACAAATGCAGGATCATGGCGGCGAACCCGCGCATAGGATCAGGTTGGCGTGCAGCCTGCGCATATTGCCGAATGGCCTGCAGCGAGGTGGTAGCCAGGTGCTTCTTGGCCATGACCCATTCACCACCAGACGAACCTCCTCGTCCTGTTGGAGTGCTCCCTGTGGCGCAGACCTTCCAACCGTCTTTGTCCAGTTCGATCTCCGTCTTGGAGTGGAACGTGGCGGCGGTGACATGGGTCTCCACCAGACAAAACACAGAGTAAGGGGCTGTGTTGACATAACGCTGCGCTTGAGGCCCCCACTCAGTGATGTTACCGTAAAGGATCGAAAAATCTTTCTCGTCGGATATGAGCTTGGAGGGGGCTGGAGCGGCCAAAGCCTGCGCTGCTGGTGCGCTGAGGCCAGCCTCCAGGCCCGTAGGGCCGCCGCAAGCGGCGGCCTGGTCCGCCCTAGCCTCGGAGGGCCTGGCGGTGACGCCAGGTGGAGCGGGGCCTCCCTCCGCCTCGAACGGCGAGTCCTGGTGGAAACGCTCGTTGCCCTCCTCAAACTCCAGATCCTCGAACGGATCAAGCTCAGCGTCGTACAGGTGCGCCGTCGTAACTGAAGGGACAGAGGCCTGCGGTCCCGTAGATGCGCGAGGCGCAGCCCTCGGGGGAGGGCTGTCATTAAGGGCAGCATACGCCAGCCCGCCAAGCGCACCCGTCAGCGAGGCTTGACCCGATGCACCCGAAGAAGTACGAGTGGCCGAAATCCTCACACTCGGAGATGGCATAGCTCCGCGCGGCGCAGAACGCGATGAACGTCTTGCCTGCGGTGCACGTGCCGCCGAGCCTTGAGCCGCAGTCGGCGAACTGCTCACCTCCAACGGTGCTGTAGTTGAATCGCTTCCAAAAGCACGCTCCTCATCCGAGTCGAGGAAGAAGTCGACTGGGTAGGGCCAGGGACGCCCGCCGAAACAGGATGCCGACAAAACTCGGCGTGGCGCCCCTCGATCTGCGTTAGGCTGTGGACGGAGCCCCTGATGCTGCAGGGGAGGGGGCGGCGCCAGGAGCACCAGGGGCGGCCTCTGCGGTGGAGGAAGCAGCCTCCTGCTGAGCGTAGAGCTCCTCCTGGGCCGACTTGGCCTTGGCCCTGGCAGCAGCGCGCATGGCCTCGGCCCCAGCTGGAGCGCCTGTTGCCGCAGCGGCGCCAGCAGGCCCAGCCCCGTCAGTAGCAGCAGTAGCAGCGGGGCCAGCAGCAGAGCCAGCCGCGTCGCTGCCGTCCACGCGCCTGCGCTTGGCCTCCTCCCTGGCGCGCAGCTTGCGAGCCTCCTCACGAAGCTCCAGGATGCGCTGCGCCGAGGGACCAAGGACTTCCTGGACCTTGGTCTGGACGCTGTCGGCCAGCTCCTGCTTGATGCGCTCCCAGTCCACGCGTGCCTGCTCGTCGAGCTCCAGGCCCGAGAGATCAAACAGCGGCCCGTCCACGATCTGTAGCGAGCCCTCGTCGACGAGCGTCGAAAGGTTGATCGCCGAAGAAGAAGGTGGCGCCGCTGACGGCGGCGCCGAGGCCTTGACCTGCTTGGCGCAGGCCGCCTCCCAGTCCTGCTGCGCCGCATGGGCGCTGGCGGCCGCCTCGTCCTCTGCGGCCTGGGCGTCGGCGAGCCACTGCTGGCCCTCAAGAACGCGGGCTGAGCAGGTCTCAAGCCATGCCAGCGCCCTCCTGCAAGCCACGCCTTTGGCCCGCACTTCCTCCTCAAGGAGTGGCGCCTTCTGCGGGGCACCCGCGCCAGCAGCAGCTGCCTGCGCCTCCTTCTTGGCCTGCACTGCCGCCTTGAGCTTGAGGAGCTCTTCGCAGTCCGAGCCGAGCTCCTTCTCGAAGAACTCGAAGGGGTCAGCGTCATGAGCAGGCTGCTGCTGCTGCTGCTGCTGCCCTTCACGGCCACCATGAGGAACCCAGCCCGCCTGCTGGTAGACCCATGGCCGACGCTGGACGGCCTGGGCCTTCGGTGCGGGCCGTGGCAAAGGTGGCCCCTTGGCGCCCTTGCCTCCTGCTTGAGCCCAGGGAGGAGCCGCAGGGGAATCTGCCGCTGGCTCTGCCTCAGGAGGAGGCGTTGCGACCGCCTGCGGAGGGCCCCAAACCCACTGGCCGCGGGGGCGCTTGTCCTCCGAAGGGCTCGGCACCATGGCGCCTCCGCACTGGTAGCACCAGTGATTGTTCTTGAAATTCCAGCGGAACCTGCAGGAAGTGCATGTGATGTACGTCGTCTTGGCCCCTGCCGCTGGAGCCGCGCGAGCGCCGCCCTTCTTGCCGCCGCCTCCCATTGCAGGTGCGAGGGAAGCTGCTCTCCCAGTGAAGGGGGCAGGCGATGGACTGGGGCGGACCAGTCCTCGCAGAGAGGATGTCGGGCGCAAGCACCCTGGCACTGCCGCGGACTAGCGGTATCCAGTTCGGCCAATGCGGGCTCCGCCCGCACGAAGGGCATCTTGAGCCAAAGTGGCTACGGAGGAGGAGGAGGAGGAGGAGGAGGAGGAGGAGGAGGAGGAGGAGGAGGAGGAGGAGGGAGGAGAGGAGGAGGAGGAGGAGGAGGAGGGAGGAGGGAGGAGGAGGAGGAGGAGGAGGAGGAGGAGGAGGAGGAGGAGGAGAGGAGAGGTGAAGGGGGACGAGGGGGAGGAGGAGGAGGGAAGGGGGCACCGGGAGGAGGGGGAGGAGGAGGCGAGAGGAGAGGGACGGCGAGGAGTGGGAGGAGGAGCAGGAGGAGCAGGAGGAGGAGGAGGAGGAGAACCCGTACCCAGCTCGATCGCGCCGAGCGACTGGCCCTCATCCGACGGCCGGCCCCTCCCGCCCCGAGAGCGGCGCACCTTCGCCTGGTCCAGCCCCGGCGGGGGCTCCGGCGGCGGCGGCCCTGGCGCCGCGCTGGGCGCGCAGGCCCCGTCGGCCGGTGGCGCGGCCTCGCGCGGCGACGGCGACGGCGACGGCGACGGCGACGACGACGGCGACGACGGCGACAACGGCGACACCGACACGACGTCGACGAAGGCGACGACGACGACGGCGGCGACGACGACAGACTACTCAGGATGAAAAAGCCGGTCCCGGGGAAAAGGTCGGGACTTCCAGGGAAGCCGTACTGAAAAAATCCGGACGCCGCATGTCTGGGTGCAAAAGAGGATATGCCCACATGAAGCGGCGAGGCCGTACAGATGGCACGCATCCGACAGGTCGGGTGTAGAATAGGGAAGGTGAGAGGGGGAGGGAGAAGGGAGGAGCCCAGACCCCCGACGCCGTGATTTTTTCACAACGTCGACCCCCAGAGGTCTGGACCCCTTCCCCGGGACCGGCTTTGCATCCCGAGTCGTTTTTTGACGGTCCCGAGGCCCGGTGAGGACCCCCGGAGGCAGAAAATAACGAAAAACCTCCCGTCGTGATTTTGTTCACGACGCCAGGAGGTCCGGGAGGGAGGCGAAGTGGGAGGAAGAGGAAGCGGAGGTGGACGGCCTTTTTCTTACGGGAATTCTCCGCACTCCTCCTCCTCCTCCTCCTCCTCCTCCTCCTCCTCCTCCTCCTCCTCCTCCTCCTCCTCCTCCTCCTGACGGCTTTTTGTTGCGGGAGCTCTCTATATCCCCCGCGCCCGCTCCCAGCGCCGCGCTCCGCCCGCGCGGCCGCCCTCGGGGGGGGGCCGGCCTCGGCGCGCGTAGCCGCGCCGTCGGAGGCGGCCGGCGCGCTGCAGCCGCGACGAGGTGATCCACCGCGACTGCAGCATCAACCACCAATTTGAAGGGGCCCACGGACACGCAAATAAATACACACAAATAAAATAATCCCCCATATTTTCCCAGATTTTCTGGGCTTTTGTCTTCCCCCCCACTTCCCATATTGTCTCATTTTTTCTGGGAATCGCCGAGTAATTGTGTCTGTGTGTTTTTTTCCCCTCCTGAGACAAGGTGATCCACCGCGACTGCAGCATCAACCACCAATTTCGGGTCGGGCGAAAGGGGGGGATAGCAAAGGGGGGGTGTGAGAATCAGCTCACGTGGCCGATCTTCCCGGCGCCTCCCGGCGCCGGGAGGCGCCCATGTATCGAGGAATGGGCCCCTCGGTGAGGCCGAAACCAACTGCATGCAGCAAATTTCGTAACCCCCCCTTTCCCAATTCCCGCCTTTCGCCCGACCCGACAATTGTTCTACGAGATCAACCCATCTTGTTGGAGACCTGCCGGCAAGCAGGCCGAGAACATGCACGCACAGAGCAGTGCCGCGAACAGATGCGGCCACAAAACAAGTGGGGTACAGCGTCCGACATGGGAAACTACCTCGAGCCGACAATATCATGATCATTGCCACGGCCGCCGACATAAAGCTCGGCACCAAGTACCACAACAGCAGAAGGTACGACACCAGGTATGACATGACCCGACAACATGATTAAAAACATCGTCGTGGAGATACCAGTGGAACACGGCTACGCCATGTTCGCCGACTACGATAACGACAAGTACGACCACCAATATGACCAGTACGATCACCAGTACGTGATCGACGACCACCTACGAGAGGTATCATCAGAATAATGAGGGCCACCAGCTGGGCTACGAGTGCCACCAGCTGGGCTGCGAGGGCCGCTGCCTGAGCTGCGAGGGCTACAGGCAGACCTTCGGAAGCTACCGACAGGACAACAAGCAGAGCTACGAGATCCACCAGCTGAGCTACGAGGCCAACCTGCGGATCTACGAGGACCACGTCTTGATGTCCGAGGACCTGCACCTCCCCTGCCCTCACGGCCAGCTCAACCCGAGGTAGACCCGGGCAGAAGCCCTGAACAAAAACATCGAGATCGGTACCTCGCCCCGCGGGCTACGTCGCAAAAGGTCCCCACACCGTCGCCACCGCTGGACTCGACCGAACTGCGAGGGCCACCAACAAGGAGGCTACGACGGCACTGGCAGAACTTGCTCTGGATGGGGAAAGACTATTCCCCCCTTAGATCCGCTGGGGGGGGTGGGCACGTGCTGTCGGAACGGGTGGAGGGGGGTTGGAGGACGAGGAGGAGGAGAAGGACGAGGAGGAGGGAGGACGAGGACGAGGAGGAGGAGAAGGACGAGGAGGAGGGAGGAGAGGAGGAGGGAGAAGGAGGGAGGGGAGAAGGAGGGGGAGGGAGGAGGAGGAGGAGAGGAGAGGAGGAGGAGGAGGAGGAGGAGGCGGAGGAGGAGAAGGACGAGGAGGAGGAGGAGGAGGAGGAGGAGGAGGAGGAGGAGGAGGGGGAGGGGGGGGAGGGGGAGGGGGGGGGGAATGGGCAAGCTCCGTCGAAAGGTTGGTCGCCCACCCCTCGATGACCATCCCACCCAGAGCAGGGGCCCGCCGGCTCAGCTTCTCGGGTCGGGCGAAAGGAAGGGATAGCAAAGGGGGGGGTTGAGAATCAGCTCGCGTAGCTGATTTTCCCGGCGCCTCCCGGCGCCGGAGGAGGCCCCTCGGTGAGGCCGAAACCAGCTGCATGCAGCAAATTTCGTACCCCCCCCTTTCCCAATCCCCCCCTTTCGCCCGACCCGAGCTTCACGAGCAGTCCAGCCGAGCATTGGGGGAGCCGCGCGCAGCCCTGCGAGGGCCACGGGCGGGGCTGCCGGCGTACCGCGCGCGGAGCGGCGGAGGCCCCCTGGGCAGGTCTGCGAGGGCCACCCGCCGAGCTGCGAGGGCGACGCGGGCAGAGGAGGAGGCGGGCCCTGATGGTCCGCTACCGAAAACTTCCGGTAGCGCTCCGCAGAGATCGGTCGCTACCGAAATACCGAAATGTAGCGCCCAATACCGGTATCAGAGCGTTCTGAAATCCGCTATTTCAACGTGCTCAAACGAAGATCCGGTCGCTACCGAAATTCGGGGTGCGTCGAAATCGCTACCGAAAATTTCCGGTACTAGACCATCTGGGGGGAGGAGGCCCGGAGGCCTGAGCAGCTGGAAGCTCGGCACGGGAGGCCATGGAGGGCCGGGCCGGGCAGGGCCGGCAGGCAGGGGAGGCCAGGGCGGGCCGAGGAAGCCACGGGGAGGCTGCGGCGGAGACGGAGGAGGCCCGGATGGCGGAGGAGAGTCGGGCGCGGAAGGCGAGGAGGAGAGGATGGCGGAGGGAAGTCGGCAAAACGAGGCGGAGGTAGAGGAGCGCTACAAGGACGAGGCTGGCCGCCTGGCCAGAGCATGGAGCCCGATGTGGCCAAGCGAGCGCGCAAGGAAACCAGATCCTGGACCAGGAATTACCGATTTTCATCCTGGAGCTACCGTACCTCGAGATATAGCTGCTGAGCCCCATCCGGCATCATACATACACACCAAGGCTGAGGGTGGAAGAGGAGGAGCAGGAGGAGGAGGAAAAGCTGAGAAGGTGGAAGCTATCAGAAAATCGAAGGAGGCCGAGACGGCAAAGGCAGGAAGGAAGACCGGAGAACCTGAAGCCGAGGAGATCAGCAAGGCCGGGAGAGCCAAAAAGGCATTTGGAGTCTAAGAAGGCCAGGGAGGCCTGGAAAGCGCAAGAGGCAAGAAGACCACCGAGGCCAAGAATGCAGAGGAGGACCCGAGGACTCAAGTTGGTACGGACTGTCCAACCTCGACGGCCAGAGCGCCCACCAAGACAGCAGGGGCCGAGGAGGAGGACGAGGAGGAGAAGGCCAGGAAAGCAGAGGAGGCCAGGAAGGCAGACGTGTCCAGGAGGGATTCCCCACATTTCCTCATATGTTCTGGGTCTTCGTCTTCCCCCCCACCTCCCATACTTTCCTATATTTTCTGGGGGATCGACGATTCAGTGTGTCTGTGTGTGTGTGTTTTCCCTCCTGAAAAGGTGGGGGTCACCAGCCGACTCGACCCAGAGGCGGAGAACCCACGAGCACCAC